TTATAGGCATACACTATTGGGTCCAGGTGCATTTTTCTATTTTGTTTTATTGCTCTGTTTATCAATCACTATTGTGGGGTTGAATTTAATTCCCATTATTATGACTAAGCATTGATTTATGCTTGATAGTAAATTTATACAATGTAATAAATTTGGAATTTATATTTTGGAAATATCAGCTTTAATTTATATGAATTTTTTAATATTTATTTTTTAGTTTTCGGTGGACACAACATCTTTATTTTATTTTATTTTTTATGTGGTGCTGAGGATCGAACCCAGCGCCCCTCGTATGCCAGGCAAGCGCGTTAACAGTTGAGCCACATCCCCAGCCCTAATATATATGTTATTAAACTGTATTAGACGTAGATTTTCTTAAGCTTGCTAATTATGTGCCTCAGTAAAAAATAATTCACTTTTTTTTTAAAGAGAGAGAGAGAGAATTTTTTAAATTTATTTTTTAGTTTTTTCGGCGGACACAACATCTTTGTCGGTATGTGGTGCTGAGGATCGAACCCGGGCCGCACGCATGCCAGGCGATCGCGCTACCACTTGAGCCACATCTCCAGCCCAATAATTCACATTTTTGTTATCATTACTTTAGTTATGATGGTAACATTCTATGTTCCATGTATATTAAAAATTTAAATTTGAATAGGATATGGAATGTTGGAGTTTAAAATATATTTACTTTTTTCTTTTTTAATTTATTTATTCTAATATGTTATTTATGACAGCAAATGCATTTCATTTTATAGTACACATATAGAGCACAATTTTTCCTGTCTCTGGTTTTGCACAAAGTAGAGTCACACCATTCATGTCTTTATATATGAACTTGGGGGTAATGATGTCCATTTCATTCCACTGTCTTTCCTTCTTCCTTGTATTTACTTTTTTTTAAAAAAAAATACATATTTTTAGTTGTAGTTGTCAATACACGTGCTAGGCGAGTGCTCTACTGCTGAGCCACAACCCTAGCCCCCCTTATATTTACTTTTTAATCAAAGTTATAGATGGATGTGGTTTTAAAAGCTGTCAAACAATATGATGAACTTATAATAAATTGCAGGCCTGGGGTTGTGGCTCAGAGATAGAGTGCTTGCCTCGCATACATGGGGCACTGGGTTCCATCCTCAGCACCACATAAAAAAATAAATAAAGGAACTATGTCAACCTACAACTGAAAAATAAATATTAAAAAAATAATTGCAGTACCACCTTCCCCATTATCTAGTCCTTTTCCCCAAAGGTGGCCACTTTCAAATCTATTAGCTGATGCTGTTATTCTATATCTCCTTAAAACTAATGTACTTTCACAGTTGTTTTTTAAAAATTTAGTAATTTACATATTTTCTATTGACTCCCTACCTGTTATGGAAGATGAAAATTTAAAACTCTTAAATTGTCACTCTCTCTTCTTTATTCTGGAATCTTCTCAATATGTACATTACAATTTTGGGTTAAATCTTTAATATTTAGATGATAGTATTTTACACACGCACGCAGAGGACTGAACCTAGGAGACTTTTACCACTGAACKACATCCCTAGTCCTATTTGTTTTTTATGACATTTGTTGAACTTTATTTATTTATTCTTGGTGGGGCTGGGCTGGGGATTGAACCCAGGGCCTTACATAGGCTAGACAGTTTTTCTACCACCGGGCTACATCCCCAGCTCTGAATGTGTCTGATACCTCTCTCTTTTTTTTTTTTTTTTTCAGTATGGGGATCAAACCCAGTGCCTCATACATGTGAGGCAAGTGCTCTGCCTCTGAGCCACATGAACAGTTTTTATTTTCCCCAAAGCATGTAGTCTTTAAAAAATCATTTAATTATGTTTTGTTTGTGATTTTTTTCAATACTGCTGTGTTCTCAGACATCTTGTAACAATCCACATAATAAAGTCAGACACATCAAGTGATCTTCAGTCCTACTTTTTATTTACCTGGAGATCCTGGGGCTGTTTTGACTCTTGCCTGACCTGCTGTACTGCTCTTGTCCTGTGACTTCTCTTCACCACTGGTTCAGGTTGAATCCCTGTTTCTTGAATTCCATGTCTTTCCTTGTCTTGCCTTATTTCCTCATATATCTTCCTGGGAATGGGTCACTGGACTGTGTTTTGATTATTGACATGTCAAAAAAGTCTTTATTCTACTTGCATACTGAATTGGTTGGTAGCTTGGCTAGTTGTAGAATTTAATAAATTATTTCCTTTTAATATTTTAAAGGCATTGCTTTCCTGTCATCTAGCTTCAAGTATTGCTGCTGAGATGTTGAAAAACTATTCTTTTCTTTTTGAAAGTTAATAATATGAGCCAGGTGCAGTGGTTCAGGCCTGTAAGCCCAGCGGCTTGGGAGGCTGAGGCAGGAGGGTTGTTGAGTTCAAAGCCAGCCTCAGCAACTTACCAAGGCCCTGAGAAACTTAGCAAGACCCCGTCTCAAAATAAAAAATAAAAAGGGCTGGGGATGTGGCTCAGTGGTTAAGCACCCCAGGGTTCAATATCTAGTATCAGAAAAAAAATTAATATGAAACAAATGGTAATAGAGAGTAATATAACAAAAACCTACCTACATACTGTTTCTTTCACCAAATGTAAATGTTTGCTATTTGTACTTAATCTCTTTTTCCTTCTGTCCCCTCCATCCCCTTGCAGTTATCAATTCCAGGGCCTTCCAAATATTAGTCAAGGGCTCCACCCTAAGCTTTATCCCCAGCCCCCTTTTCCCTTTAAGAAACTACTTATGGATATAGTTGAAGCCCCCTCACCTTTCTGATAGCATTAGAAATTGGTGTTTGTTTTTCCTGTGTGCTTTAATACTTGGTATTAGATAGGAATATATTCACACTATTGTTTCCATGTTTTAAAGTCTTACAAATGAAACTACAGCATGTACATTATTCTGTAATTTTTTTTTCATTTTTACACATTTTTTAAGATGTATTCATATTGATCACTCTAGTTCTGATTCACTCATTTTTCAGAAAATTTTTAAAAAATATTTTTTGGTTGTTGATGTACCTTTATTTTTTTATTTATTTTTATGAGGTGCTGAGGATCAAACTCGGTGCCTCACACATGGTAGGCAAGTGATCGGTGCCTCACACGTGGTAGGCAAGTGCTCTGGCGCTGAGCTACAACCCCAGCCCTCTGATTCATTCATTTTTACTAATGTATTGTATCCCATTGTAAGACTTTAATTTTAATTTTAAATAGCTTAAAATATGTAAAGTGATTTTGAATGGGGTATAAAAGGCCGGTGTTGTGTTTTATTGGTAGAGTGCTTGCCTAGCATGCCAGAAGCACTGAGTTCCATACCCAGCACCACGTAAATAAATAAATAAACAAAATAAAAGTTAATAGTAAAAAGGTAAGGAACTCATGCGTTTTATAATAGTTCTTTTTTTGGGGGGGGTTACTGGGGATTGAACACAGGGTACTTAGCCTCTGCACCGCATTCCCAGCCCTATTTTTGTATTTTATTTAGAGACAGGGTCTCACTGAGTTGCTGAGCACTTTGCTTTTGCTGAGGTTGGCTTTGAACTCAGGATCCTCCTGCCTCAGCCTCTCAAGTTGCTGGGATTATAGGCATGCACCGCTGCACCTGGCTGTAATAGTTCTTTATAGAATTTTCTAGTTTGGCTTAACAATACCTATTGTAAGAAGTTAAACCTTATAATTAGCTGGCTTGATATGGAGGCTGAATTGACTAGGGAGGATAAAAACAGGGGCTGTGGGTTCAGAGGCAGGTGCCAAGGAGCCAGATTGGTATTTCTTACATGTTTCTAAGACCCATCTGCCCATGTGCATTGGGGGAGCCTCATGCCCTCATATAAGCAGCTAGTTCAGATCTGTAGAGAATAAGAAGACATCCTTCCAAATTCTGCCCTTGGTTTCCTTGCCTTCATGGAATGAGGAGGGGCATGAGTAAGAAAGTCAGTTACTAATAAAAATTCTCACCTGAATGGGACTTTTTCTGTCACTGAGTCCACATAGTTTTCTTTCATTTTGAAAATAGTGTAATTATTGTTAATCTCACCACCATCTTCTTATTCAGTGACACTTATTCTGAAAATTGTGATAAAGCTTGTTCTAGAACTATGTTGAGTATGATTTGAGGAAGACAGTAATTCATATTTGAACTCAACTATTAGTTTTTTCCTTAATGACCAGGCACAACAAATACTGTAGAGCCTTGTGTATAATTATTCAGTCACTTATTCTTTTCAACATATTGTTTAGGGAATGCCTATTACATGTTTGTCTAGTTAATGGGGATAGAAAGATGAATTAAGAGCTATCATCAAAAAAAAAATTCAAGGTTTAGTGAAGGAATATGTCAACAAATACTGTATGTATACTTAGCAGAATGAGAATTATATGTGATTCCTTTAGAACTGTGAGTTCTTTCAAGAGAAGCAGGTAATTCAGGTCAGCCCCCACAATAAGTGTCAGTAGAACATGGTAATTACTTGAACTACTTTCTCCTCCTTGCACATTCATGCCTTGCAGTCTCTATAATTGCCTCTACCTCCCAGCCCCCTTTTTTGAGACAGGGTCTCTCTATGTTGCCCAGACTGGCCTAAAACTTGAGATCTTCCTGCTTGATCCCTGAGCAGTTGGCATTACAGGTGTGCACCACCAGTGGCTAGTCCCTGTATTTCTTTACCACCATTGTCTCAATTGTAAATAAGCCTCATTTTCGAAATGTTTGTTAATAAGTTACCATAGGTATAAATTTGCTTTGAGACATTTTCTTGAGCAGAGGTAGTCCCATCCTAATATCTGAGGTGCAAGTATAGATTTGGATTCTTATGTTTGTGTTGGCTGTCTTTTTCCCCTTGTAACTTTGTATCTGATGTCTAATATACTTACAAATAAGGAGAGATGTAATTTCCTTTAGTAAGTTTATAGTTTTTTTTATATGTAAGTTAAAGGTGGGAAAAGTTATGATGACTATTTTGAACAAGTTTGAATTTTTTCTCCATTTTTTCTAGGTTATACTGTGGAAATGCAGGTGTAAATTATCTTACCACTTTAGAAGATGGGATCAAACAGCAGCAGGATCAGTGATCTTCCTAAAAATGAGTACTTAAAAAAGTTATCAGGCACAGAATCTGTCTCTGAGAATGACCCATTCTGGAATCAGCTTCTCTCCTTTTCTTTCCCTGCACCAWCTAGCAGGTAAGAGATTGCCTGGAAATTGAAAAATTCATATAGAAGGCCACACTAACCTGTGTGATATGCTACTTTTTGAAAGTATGTTTTAGTGTTTGTTTGATCTGTGTTGTCTCTCTCTCTCTGTCATATATATACTAATAGAAAATCCAAAAGGTATGAACAGTAGGAAATACCTTTTTCTCTCCTTTTTTACTTCACCACCTCCTTTCTCCAGAAATGATTGCAACTAGTAGTTTCTTTTAGAGATAGTACAAGGTTATTTTTTAAAAATATTTATTTTTATGGTGCTGAGGATCAAACCCAGCGCCTCGTACATGCTAAGCAAGCGCTCTACCACTGAGCCACAACCCCAGCCCCAGAACAAGGTTATTTAAGCATATATCCCATGTTGTTTAAATACAAAGGATAGCATAATATACATGCTATTCTTATTCTGTTCCTTGCTTTTCCCCAAAAGTTAAGTAAAATATGTGTTTTATATGTAAGAAAACACAAAACTGCCATTTTCTTTTGTAGTTATAGATGGACATCATGCCATTTTTTATTTTTATGAGGTGCTGAGGATTGAACCCAGTGCCTCACACATGCTAGGCAAGTGCTCTGCCACTGAGCTGCACCTTTTTCTTTTTAATGGCTACAAATTAACTGGAGAATATATTCAATCAATTTTCTATTTGATGAACATTTAGACTGTTTCCAGTCTTTTGTTTTAATAGATGATGTTGAATATATCATTTCTCATGCATAGGAATCTGTCTTTAGAATAAATTCCGTGAAGTAAAATTGTGGAGTCAAAGTGTATGTATGCTTCTATAATTTTTTTTTTTGACAGTTTTCTTTTTTTTTTTATTTTTTTTTTAATTTTTTTTATTGGTTGTTCACAACATTACAAAGCTCATGACATATCATATTTCATACATTAGATTGAAGTGGGTTATGAACTCCCAATTTTACCCCAAATGCAGATTGCAGAATCACGTCGGTTACACATCCACAATTTTACATAATGCCCAATTAGTAATTGTTGTATTCTGCTACTTTTCCTATCCCCTAATATCCCCCCTCCCCTCCCCTCCCATCTTCTCTCTCTACCCCATCTATTGTAATTCATTTCTCTCCTTGTTAATTTTCCCATTCCTTCTATAATTTTTTTATTCCTTCATCCTGGGAATTGAACCCAGGAGCACTTTACCACTGAGCTACCTCCCTAGTCCTTTTTTATTTTTTATTTTGAGACAGGATCTCACTAAGTTGCTGAGGGTCTCATTAAGTTGCCCATGCTGGCCTTCAACTTTTTGTCTCAGCCTCTCAAGTCACTGGGATTATTACAGGTGTGTGCCCTGTGGCTGCTTTCTAATTTTGGGAGTTATGCCACACTGTGCTTCTTGGAAGTTTTACCAGTTTATGCTCCTATGAGCAATGTAAAAAAGAGCCTGTTTCTCCACATCTTTGTCAATTTAATGCAATTTTTACATTGGATCAATGAAAATTTGGTAGATGAAAAACAGTAGTTAACTTTAACCCTTTATTATAAAAATTGACATGTAGTGTAGGGTAACTAGAATATTTGCATTTCCATATATTCAATAAGTATATATATATATATATATATATATATATATATATATATATATATATTTTGGCAGTGCTTGGGATTGAACCTAGGGCCTTGTGCATGTGAGGCAAGCATTCTACCAGCTGAACTATATCCCCAGCCTCTCAATAAGTACATTTAAAAATATATATATTTTTAATAGCCTTCTGGTAAGAGGCTGAATAGTTCCCTGCCCCCAGATATCCATGTCCTAGTTCCCATGATCTGTGAATGTTATGTTAATGTGGCAAAGAGGAATTAGGGTAGCAAATGGAATTGCTAATCAGATGATCTTAATTAGGGAGATTATTTGGATTATCCAGGTGAGTCTAGTGTGATCACAAGGATTCTAGAAAGTGAAAGAGGGAGCAGGGGAATAAGAACAAGTCAGGGTCATGTGATGTGACTAGAGGAGGACTTAGCCTGCCCTGGTTGGTTTTGAAGTTAGAGGAATGGGGTCATGAGCCTAGAAAGGTGAGCAGCCTCAAGGAGCTGAAGGGCTCAAGAAAAATGATTTTGTCTTAGAGCCTGACATCCTAATCTTAGCTCACTGAGACTTGTTTCGAACTTATGAGCTGTAAGATAATGAATTTGCATATTTTATACCACTTTATTTGTGGCAACTTTTATAGTAGCAATAGAAAACTAAAACTTTTTTGAGATGTGATCCACCCACTAGTTCAAGTGTGTAATTCATTGTTTTTAACATAGTCACAGAGTTGCACAAGTATCTCCATGAGCAATTCAGCAAGACCCTGTCTCAAAATTAAAAAAAAAAAAAAAAAGGCTCTGGGGATGTGGCTCAGTGGATAAGCACACCTGGGTTCAATCCTTGGTAACTAAAACAAGAGAACCAAACCTTGAGATTGAATAGGCTTTGAGGTAGCAGGTGCCCCCTTGACAGTTAGGGGCTAGGATTACCTTGTTATGAATTATTCAGGGTTAAGATGAGTCTCTGCAGGCAAAGACTATGAATCCAATATTTCTGAGATTTGGTTTACTCCTCGAATTCCTTGTATCCATATATGCTATCTTCAAGTACAGCCTGTTTTTGCACCCACAAATTAATATCTGTCAAGTTTTAGAAACACTGATAAGGCCTTCAGGACTAATCTAATTGTTCTTTACTATTAACCATTTTTAGCATCAGAAGAAACTGATTTTGTTAAAACTTCCAGGCCTGGTTGCAAATTCCTACTTAGATTCCTTAATAGTTTAAAATTTTTCACATTACTAATATTACTTGTGAAGCAAAGTCCTGAAATCAAGAATAATTCAAGTAAAGTTTATATAATATGCTAATTATTTTTCTTAATAAAATATTTTTAAGCTATTTACATGACTGATTTTTATGTTTCTAAATTCCATAATAGTAGCAACAATGCAAAACAAATCTGTGCTTATTGTTTGTTCGGTTTGTAGACATCTGAATATTCCCATGTGAAGGTATGGTTTGTGTGAATGCACTCATGGGTGTCCTGCTTGTCATTGAAAACTGAAGGACCCAGGTGATCTTTTGATGTGTATTGATCCATCTGTTATTTGTTTGTTTTTCAAGCTATAATGTTGAGCTAAATAGAAGACACTTGTTCTCAAAGGGCTTATAATCTTAATTGTAAGTCAACAGTTGGCTATGGTGAGGTGTGATCAGGGCCGTTATGGAAGTGCAGGGAAGCATGCACATGGCAGGAGTATCTCCTCACCCAAGCTGGAATGAGCAGGTTGGGTCACAGCTTTCCTGGAAGAAGTGGTACACATTTATTTATTCCACTTATGTTTTCAAAGGTAATTTATTCCCATAGTTTGAGTCTCAGAACATACCAAAGGGTATTTAATGAAAAATCTCCTTCCTGTCCCTATCCTTCAGCTACCTCAGTATTCCTTTCTGAAGGCAGCCAAAGATGACCTGAGTCAGAGGAATGGGGGCTGAGGGCAGAAGACTGATCCAGATAGAGGAAACAGCATGAAGGAGGGAAGCCTAGTGGTAGGGAAGAACATGCCATGTTTTCACAAGTGAAGAGGAGTAGTGAGGGGAGATGGTTTGGAAGATTTGAGGGTTCTTATAAAGAATACTAAGGCATTTCAACTTTGTTTTAATTTTGGTGGATACCATTGAAGGATTTTTATCAGAAAGACAGGATCAAGTTTTTATTTGATTTGGTAGTTTCACCTTGTGGTAGCCACTCTATCTTTCAGCAGAAATTATTACTTTTTTTTTTTAATGGTACTGGTGATTGAACCCAGAGGTTCTCCTGCATGCCAGGCAAGTGCCTGGCTAAGTCCCATCTCTTTTTAAAAAATCTGTCTTAATTCAGAGTCTCATTAAGTTGCACAGGCTGGCCTTCAACTTTCAATCTTACTGTCTCAGCCTTCTGAGTAGTTGGGATTATAGGCATGTGCGTAGTTAGAAGTTATTACTTCTTTACTACAAACTTTTTGTTTCTCTAAAAAACAGTTGACACGTGAGATCAGATATACATGTTCTAAAGTACAGAGTTAGTTGGTATGTGGTCCTTGGTGAGATGGTCATGATTACAGGATTCTGAAAGGTATTTTGGAGGCTTTGGGATGTGCATAAAACCCTGAAGGGGTGGATGATTTAGAGACAGCCAGCAAGAACAAGAGAGTTCAGACGCATTTGAAAAGTATGTGGCCAAAGTAATTGAGGCAGGACATAGCTCAGTCTGCAGGTATGGCCCAGTGGGATACTGGCTTGCCAAAGGAAAATGTTGGTCACAGGGCTTGCTTTGAGTGCTAGAGTCCTCCCAGCTTTGGCAGTGGTGTGAGAGATGAGGAGCTGTAGATGGAATTTTAAAATTAGAATTTTATTTATTTTTGCTTGAAAAAGATTCTGCCCCCCCCTTTTTTGTGGTTCAAAACCCAGAGGATACTGAGGTTATTCTTTATCCCCCTGCATGCCTGATTTTCTTCCCCAAAGGCAGTCAATGTTATCAGTTTGCTTGAATGTAAAGATATTTTATGCATATGCATACAAATATGCACATATATTACCTTCAAATTAGACAAAAATAGCATGTATATTATACATGCTTCTTCACTTTGTGTTTTTTTGTGTTGACTATATCTTAGAGAATCTTGTGTATGTTTGCTGTTTGCTTTCTCATTTTTCTTGATGGAGGTATAGTACATAATTGCTGAGTATACCAAAATTAATTTAACTTTTTTTTTTTTGGTACTGGGGATTGAACCTAGCAGTGCTTAACCACTGAGCCATATCCCCAGCCCTTTTTTATATTTTATTTAAAGACAGAGTCTTGCTGGGTTGCTCCGGGCCTTACTAAGTTGCTGAGGCTGAATTTGAACTTGGAATCCTCCTGCCTCAGCCTCCAGAGCTGCTGGGATTACAGGCATACGCTACCAAACCTTGGCATTTACTTTTGTTACTTGG